TTCTCAACCGTGATGTCTTACTCTAGTTGAATGAGTTGAGGTTTTGCTCAACTTTTAGATTCTCAACCGTGATGTCTTACTCCGGTTGAGTGAGTTGATGTTTTGCTCACTCTGAGATTCTCAACCGAGATGTTAACTCTGGTTGAATGAGTTGATGTTTTGCTCAACTTTTAGTTTAAAATCGAGATGTTTTACTCCGGTTAATTGCGTTGATGATTTGCTCAACTTTTAGTTTAAAACCAAGATGTTTTACTCCGGTTAATTGTGTTGATGATTTGCCCAACTTTTAGTTTAAAACCGAGATGTTTTACTAAGCTGACGATTTATTCAACTTCCTGAGACTTTAACCGCGATGTTTTGTTCTGGTTACTCAAGCTGGTTAGTCTTGCCGAGGTATTTTGTTCAATTGAAGCTATTTCGCTTGAAGACCGTACAAACACTTGAAGAAAACGGAGCTTTTTCATTGATGTGAAAAGTAATTACAAGAGGAGAGGTGGATAACCTGGTTACATGTGTAAACCGAAAAGGAAGAAAGAAGACAAAGAAAACTAAGCTCAGAGGGAAAGGTCAGTGAATTCGTCCTCGGCTGCCTCCAGGTTGACCGTTGGTGTTTGGTCTTGGACACCGGTCTCCGTTTGGCCGGGCTGAACTGTGTGATTTTCCCTCTCTGCATTTTCCTCGGTTTCCTCGTCGCCTTCTTCCTCGGCCTTAGCCTGCAACGCGGGGAAGACGTCGTTGGCGTAGGGCACGAGATAGCTCGGTAGGGAGGCAGTTGGAAGAGTGGCGAACACGTCGGTCCTCGGTCCCTGGCCGAGATGTTCACAAGTAGACTTCTACCCAGCCTTGAAGAAAATTTCTTGGGTGGCGCGGACCTGCTTTGTGTAACTATCCTCGGCTTCAAGGAAACCGACGTTGTTTGCACCCTTCAGATCCTCTTCCCGTGATTGTTTCAGCGCATCTAGCTCGGCCCGCAGCGCGTCTCTCTCATTCTCGGCAGAGCCAAGCTGGCCGAGTAACCGAGAGTTGTCGGAGTTCGCCATTTGCAATGAAGACTGGGCTCTCCCGAGCTCAATTTGGAGGCTTGCAACCTGGCTGGCAGAATCATTGGCCTTCTGCCGGAGTCAGTGAATGCGCTCCATGACCAAGTGCTGCTTCTGGATGACCTATAAGAAGAAAGTTTAGTTAGAAAGGAAACCGAACAAACACTTGAGAAATTTTGAGGGAAGTTTGAGATTCTTACCCTGGTCATGGATTTGACCGACGACTTCACCAACCGGGTGTTTGGCACATGGTCACTGCCAACCACGTTGCTTGGTAGTAGGAGCGCTTTGGTGAGGTCAAAGGCGAGCAGATGCTCTTTGTCGCCTTTGACAGAAGCTGTTGCCGGGATCTCCTTCCCCCGGTGTTTGAATTGCGATTTCCACGTGGGCGTTGGGTTGACCGTGACGGTAGGTTGCTCGGTATTGAGCTCCACAACCAGCTCGGCAGATGGGTCTGCACAAGGCCTTTTCCCAGCGCGGCAGATGTCTTGGCTTGCTTGCCCGACGGCGGGAGATGCCAACGCCACCACGGCCCCACTGGATTGACCGGCTGCAGGAGAGCGGGTTGGTATGCTCGGTATCTCGGTGGAGGTTGTTGTGAGTAGGTTCTTGATACGGCTTCTCTTTGCCATTTCTTCTACCTCGGTTAAACGAATAAAGGGGACGTCTGGCAGTGTGGGATCTGGAAGCGGAGATGGAGCGCGGAGAAAGTCAGTAACTTTACTCCGGCGCGGAGCTGAATACCGGTATGTCGGAGTGTAGCCGAGGACCTCATTACAATCCCGGTTGCGGTAACGGAGCACGGTCTTGATGGCTGCTTCGTTGGGGTAGTGGTAGTGGGCTTGCAAGGCTTGGATCGCTGCAAAGGAAATAAAAGTGTCAAGTACAGAATAGTAAAGATAAATTGACCGAGCAGTTAGCACGGCTTACATGTCTCGCCGAAGTTCTTGCTAATAAACCAGCCCAGTACGTCGGCTGTTTCATAGTTGACAAACACTCAGAAAAAGTCGTCGTCTTGTAAGTCCTTGTCTGGGGTGCCAGTCACTATTTTTTCTTTGCCTAGTCGAATTTTTAAGTAATAGGCGAAGCTGTCGCCCGTGTGCCCAAGGGTGTATTAACGGAGTATCTCGACTAAACCTAAGTTGGTTCCTAGCCTGTTGTTCAACTCATGGACCCCGTTGATTATTCGATAAGTGTTGGTTGAGACTTGAGTGGGTGCTAGCTCGGTGCGGCGTAAGAATTCGGTCATCAGTGGATTGACTGGGAAGTGGAGGCCTCCTTCAATGATGGATAGCATGGCGAAGGGGCACTGGTCTAATCTGTCCCAAGGGGTTGTCTCAATTTCGCTGAGCTCTAAGTGGACGTCGGCCGGGATACCATATTCTTCCCGGAATATGGCCAAGGCAGCCGGAGTATCAACATGGAAGCGGAAGCGCCCCATGTGTAGCCGGCTGGTTTAGCTCGGCTGAGGTGGTTTGGCACAAACTGGAGTTTAATGGCTGCTCGTTCTTTAAGAGCCTCGGTAATTGGTCAGTGGTCCCCTTGGACTCTACAGGAAAAGGATGGCAAGTGTAAGTGGAAGCGCGGTCGTAAAGAGTTCCAGACCACCTCGGTCGCGAAGGCAAACCAAGGAGCTCGGTTGCTCAAGCAGACCAGTTGCTAGCCCGGTCGAGCGGCCAAGTCCTCTGTCTACCTCGGTTTCTACTAAGGTTTTGGCAAACTTGTAAATTGCTCGATCTAATTGTTTTTTGGATCAAAAGAAGACCTGGGGCCCGGTCCGCTCCAAATCTTCATGTGTTCATGTGTTCATCACTGGGATTGAAGAACAACGAAGAGAATAGGGGCAAATGTGGGTTTTGGGAGGGTTACGTCCTAAAACCTACGGATTTTGTGCCCTAATATGTGAAATATCAAATGAAATAGCAATAAAGTGCTCGAAGGACTTACCAGGAAGGGGGTTGAATCTGAGTCTTCACGCACGAACGGAGAAGAGGAACAAGAATGGAGGTTGGAGCTCTGGAACGTCGAAGGTTGAAAGGGAGTCAGTAAGAGTGAAATGAAGGGGGATATGGCGTGTTTGTAGGGTTGAAGAACCGCCAAAAAATTTGAGTGTGAAGGGACGTGATGGTTGGCTGCTCGAGGCCAATGAGCGAGCGACACGTGTCCCTATTAACGGCGGCGTTAGTACTGAAGAGACAGGATGGCAAGTCGATGCGTTGACCAGGCAAGTTCAGAAGTCAGTCATATCAACTAGCCCGGTTGTCGTCTTGCAAACCGAGGACTGAGGAAGAGTTTACCCCGGTTAGAACAAATAATCCCAGTCACGCTTGCGCGGACGAGATTAAGGGGCAATTGAGAGGGAGGTTTATAATCTGGATTGGGCCGTGGTAATGGCCGGGCAGATTTGGGCCGAACACTGTCGGGCCTTGGTAGCATGGGCCTGTCTAGAAAGGTTTTGCTCGGCTAAAGCAAGGCATGGTTGGACCAAGCTATTTGGCTTCAGGGTGCAGAAACCGGTCGAGTGATGGTTCGGCCGAGATGTCCGCTGCCTCACTGGGTTCCACGGTTCGTGGGTTAGCCCAGTAGGAAGGCCGACAGCTAACCAGCATGAGCTGTCCTGAGCTCGGCTGTGCCGGAATGTAACCGAGCTCGGTCGTCATTGAGCTAGGCGAGCAGAGCGCTCTGGCTAGCAATACAGCACGGCCTTTAGCAGCTGAGATGCTGCAGCCCGGCTGCCGAGCTCCCAGTAGTGTGGGCTGGTGGTCTGGTTAGGTGATGTTCAGCTAGATTTGCGCTGACAGATGGGATAGCAGCACCACATGTCGAGAGACTAATGGGAGTAGATTTGGGGCGCATAAGGTATATAAGCGAGTCTGCGCCCCCCATGCGGAGAGAGATGAACATTTGGTGAGATTTACACTAAACAATCAATCCTCTCTCTCTATCCCTGTGTGTGTCTAACTGATCGTCAAAGGGGCATTCCAGCCACACACCGCCGGATAGCTCACTGCCGTTGTGCTCGCAGGTCGATCGGATAGGCAAGAGCTTGGAAGAAAGGAGTACGGGCTTGCCGGAATATTTTCTCCCCGCACAGTGAGGATGAGCAATGTCGGTAGACGATGAAAATGGTGGATGCGATGAACAGCCATCGAGTTGATGAAGATAAAGAGATGCCGTAAAAGAAAGAGAAGAAAGAGAGGATATAATGGTCAAATAAAATATTGAAATAACAAATTTTGTTTTTTATACAAGACTTTATGATTACGAGTGAGTTTTAAAAGTACTAATTTTTTATTTTTTTGGTTCTTTTAACAAGAAAATGAAGCTTGGATGGGATTACTGATCAAATTTCCCAATTTTGAATGGGGAATTTGGTCAAACTCCCTCATAATAAAATGGACAAATACAAAAAGTTTTTTTTAAAAAGTCCAACACATACCACTATTACTAAAATATTAAACTTAAAATAATAAATTTTTTGATTTAGAAGTCGATTTTTAATAAAATTAATATTTTTAAAATCCTCTCATCAAAATCTATCAAATAAGATCCACGTTAACTATGAAATTCTTAAAAAAAAAATATTATCGTTGAAATTGTTGTAAATAGTAACATGTTACTTTATTTCACAGTAACATGTTATTCTATCTCATAGTAACATGTTACTCTGGCAATATTATCCAAAAAATAATAATAATAATATTTTACTATATCTTTACTTAATTATGCGCCTCTTCCTTGAGGAATTTATGAAACAAAATAAATTAAACTATCTATTTCACCAAACAAAAGTCCAATGCAGAGGTTTGACTAAAATTCTAATTTTGAATCCAAACACAATGTTATAGTTTCTAGTTAATTTTCTTTACACGTCTTGTTTATCATTTTCATCTTTTGTCACATATAATTTTTCATTAGTTTGGAAACATAAACAAAGAAAATTTAATAAACATCCACATCTTTAGCAGAAAAGAACCAATGATTTTGAAGAAAAAACAAGCAGGGTATATAAAAACCATTATCAAGCTAATATAGACTGCTAAACTAGATGACAGTTGAACAACTTTGATCCAGATCTATTTTGTGCAAGTTACTTGCAATTATAATATCGTATAGAAAAAGGAAAAAAACACACCACACAGCGAATCTCAATCGTAAATTTGTAACCGGCCCATCTTTACCAGCCAAACTGTCTTCAGTTACAGAGACAACCAAGGATTCTTGAATATCCTTGGAACTACAGCTTGCACCAACGCAATCTGACGACACATTGATAAACTTGTCATGGGGTTGACTCAGTTTCCGCTGGTTTCAATTCAGTATCGGCTATGTTAGAAGTTGAGGATTTCTCGTCTGCAGCTGCAGTAGCAGACTGATTTCCATGATCAGAAGTCGAGGATTTCTCATCTGCATCAGCAGCGGCAGCAGCACTCATGGGGTTTCTTGAACTGCACCAAGATCATGGTCATGTTGTCACATCCCTCACCGCCAGAAATAGATGGTGCCAAACACCTATCAAGTACTCTTTCACATACCACAGAGCTCGCTTTCATGCATAATTAGGAAAAAAAAACAAACAAATTTTTATATTTGATTGAGGTACCCAAAAATTTGTATTGCCAAATTCTACTTCTGCAAGAATTCTAAGATTGTCAAAAGCTCAAAAAACTGGTCACTAAGATCAGCAACTCTTTCAACAACAGGTGGGTAATGTGTTATAACAAACAATTTATGATGTCGACAATGAAAGCTCAAATATCAGGATTGAAAAAATGAAAACCATGCATATGGTAAATGTACCACCGTTGCTACACATAGCCAGTGGGGGTTGCCAAAGCTTTGCCCAAGAGTTGATGTGTGGTGAGAAATTTATTTATGTATAACATTACCAACAATACTTATGTACCCAGAGAGACAACCACAATCCCAACCAATATAACACATGCTTTCTCTATCTTTTCTTGCAAGGAAAATCTTATTCCAATTTCAGTATCAATCACTAAGCATGCATTTTTGCTTTTGGTCCATGGCAAAAAAATATGCATGTACTTGCTTAAGTAGCTTCTTCAAAGTATACTATTGATAAGAATTACCACACTTAATTACATATGCCTTATTCCACCAATACAAATGGGCATAACAAAGAGAGATCTCACACACTTACTGTGTTCAACTGCTCATGTAGAAAATCTACTAGCTGCTGGCTTGACATGCAATCCCTGAAAAGAATTCAAAATCCAAGTGATTATTAGATATTTGAAATATGATCGACACTTGTATTGGCAAAAACGCTAATTCTATTGGTTTTTAGGAAGAATTTAAGCAAGCTTGGGAGCTTTACAACAAACTACTTATACATAAACAAAGTCGAGCAGCATATAAACCCCAAAAATCCTCCCAATGTATCATTATAACATATACAGTTTTTTAATTTTTTAGTGTTGGGCAGGGGCGGGGGCAAGAAGCTTTGTTGCCAATCTTTAAATGCATCAAAATGAATAATTTTTTTCATTATTAAGTGAAAAATTATATCTATCACACAGTTCAGGTTTCTCAGAGTGTAATTCTTAACTGCTTGATTTGCTCAAAAATATTTTTCTCCAAATAATTAGGATGCAATTATAATCCAAATACAGCACAAGTAAAAACCTGCAATTCTAGAAAGAAACCAACTAGAAAGAAACCAAACTCATTTTTAAAATTCTTTCTATCCCTATTTTAACCAATGTCTAGGACAATAGACACTTGGTAAATCATCGCAACTCACAATTATTTCCAAAATATCCCGATATTAACCAATGTCTAGGACTGGAGGTCATCAAATGGCCTGCAAATAAAAAAGCCCAATATTATTCAATCCGCCCAACCCGTTCCAACCTGCTTAAGTGTCCAGCCCATTCTAATCCATAAAAGATGATTTAAGGATTTGACAAAAGTTTGTTATCCAAGCCCGTCCATAAACTCGGCCCATAAGAGCCCGCATGGGTAATCCTGGCTCGACCATCCCATTAGCCTAACTCAAATTATCCCGTCCATATTTTATTTATTTATTTTTTATATGTATCTAAAAAAATCTACACCATTCAGTTCAAATTCAATCCATTAAATATATTAATAATTATATACATATGTATGATATTGAATGTGCATTTTTAGGCTGATGTTTGTAATTTTATTTTAATGTGTAAGTTTAAACTCGTGAGGTTTTTGAGGAGGTAGCACACGATCAAATTCAAAATAGAAAAGGCCAACCTACTTGGGTTTCTAACTTGTGTGATGTTAGTCCTTTTGTTTTTTTCCCCCACTTGCAAGTATTTTAAATAAATTACATTTCTTGGTTGTTTTTTCATTATATGAGATGTAAAAAGGTAAAAAATAAAAAAACAAAAGGGAACGTGCTACAAGTGTACTTCCATTATATGACTAAAAAACAATCATATAATGAAAAAACAAGTGGGGGAAAATCACAAAAGTACATAACAATATATTATATATATATATATATGGTACATACCCTTAACGGGGGGTGAAGAAGTAAAAAAGGAAAAGGTTGCTGTGGGTCCTAGTAAGGACAAGAGACAAACTTCAATTTCTTCCACTCTTAATGAGATGGAATCTTGAGCTATTAGACTTTCTTCATCACAGGATGAAAACAAGAGTAAACTTGAGGAGAAGACTAACAGTCCATCCTATGACAATGGGATTGTTAAGAGGATGGAGAAGTCTTTCACTTCAAGGGAAGAGAACAAGCAGAAATTAGATAAGAAGATCAAATATTTAAAGCTAGCAATGGAAAAAGGCTTTGCAAATCTGTCGATCAAACTGAAGAAGCCATGCTTCAAACCTTCAAGCAGAGGCCAAAACTTTCCAAAGCAAGGGCAAGGTGGAGATGCCAATGACTCACCATTTGTAATATATAACATTATATCAATCAATAATACATCATTCATTCTCTATACAATTCTCTTTATACATTGATTTTTACATGTAAGTTTCTGAATATTTCTGTATATTCAAATGTATTTTTGATACAAAGAGTACACCACTTATATAGAACTCTAATCCCTAAGACTAAAGGGGAAATACGAATTACACAAAATATTTACACTATCACAATCATTCTAAATTCTTAAAATACAATATAGGCAATATATTTCTCACACATGACAGTGCCTCTTGGTCAGAGAAGATGCAGCTTCAGGGCATATCTTTATTTACCTGTTAGGGTTGTGTATTGAGCTTCATTTCACATCTCTATTATTTGGTAATAAAACTCATACCCAAAAAAATAAAAAAATAATAAAAAAGAAAGAAAGAAGACACCATCATCTGATGTCATGGTACAGAGTTCACCTACATTCTATTACGTATATTATAGGTGTGCCACCCACACAATTCAATACAGATTTTATATATCTCCATCTGAGTTTCAACTAAATTCTAATCCACAGATTCATAACTAAAATGAAACTAATACAGACAAATCACTATCCAAATCAACTCTAGTGGCAAATAAAAAAAACTTTGCAACATATGGAGAATGAAATCACACAGCTGCAAGAACAAGATGAAAAAATATGGATCAGCTGAGGTAAAGGTTCAAAATTAAAACCTTTCAAGTAGTCACATATCAGGACATCCCTTGGCAGCTGCATAACTCTGGTTCTGCATCCTTCAGCAAAACAAATTCAAGATTCAGAGGTGGCCTGAAATTGAAGAATGCAGAGCCTAATTACAATAAACATACCAGTAGCTCATCATAAGCTCTACTATTTGTTGTTGGTTCGATGCTGAGAATGAACACTTGTCTGCAGCAAGAGAAAGTGGCAAACCCCAAAGCAAGGTGTGCAAACTTCCTACTTCATCCCTAGAAAATGCAGGGGAAGCATCAATAATGTCCTTAAAATTACTACTTACATTGCCAAATGGTATGGACATAATCAGCTATTTGTAGAATGGAACCCACAAAATTTTCATATTATTGGTGCTTTCCTAAAACCCCAAAATTCCAAAAATTGAGGAGCTTTACACACTCCACTTAACACAAAAGAGAAAAATACATACACAATACAAGTACAGAGAAAATTATAAGCATTATCGCAATGGCATTTCCCCATATAATACCATCCTTAACAACAAAGATTATATCTGACACTGTGAATTTATGAAATCTAGTAACTATACATCTAGTCATCATTTGCAAATTTTAATCCACTAAGCATTCAAATACATTAGGAATTAACCAAGAGGATATCCAACTTTTTACTAATAAATGTCAAAACAGTAAACAGCCCAATAGATGTAAGATAAACAAGTTGAGTTCAGAAATGTCCATTGCATGCATTATAGAAGTTTGTGGTACAAACATTTCATCAAGACCATTACAGAATTATATAACCAAAATAGAAACAACAAAAAAAAAAACAAAACAAAACAAAACAAACAAACAAAATCTATCTGCTTCTTACAACGAACTACAATCACTATACCTAGGGTAAAACAAATTCTACGCATAGAAAATGAACAGAAAAGGGAGAGAATAAACTGGGGGGGAAGGGATTCCTTTTTTTCCCTGTCAACTAAGAGGCATGCTGGTAGCAGTAGAAACTAGGTTCCTTAGCTCCATCAAATGTTCATCATTTGATATATGGAGCGAAAGGCGAAGATTTGTCACCAATGTTTCTTGTTCCCAACTTAAGGGTCCCAATGCATGCAATGCCTCAATAGTGCAACAGTAGGCATGTAACTCTAACCTATGAATTTCTTCTGCCAATTCCACCTGACTGGGAAGGAAACAATTCCCTTCCTTAAAGCCCCTATGACAAACAGACTCAGCATCACTACAATTTCCTTCAGTATCTTCAACAGGACCTCTAGAAAAATTACAACGCAACTTAAAGGAATCATTGCTAGTAATGCTACAACTAGCCACAAAGCATGTAATATTGTCTGCATCATTAGGTTCTAAGCTGATTGCATGCGAACACCCAACAGCTCCGCTTGGTTTCTCCCTCTCCACATCGACTTCAGTAAAGTGAGTTGTTCTGCTGTTAAAAGAAGTATAAAAGTTTTTTTCACCCTGCATTTCTCGATGGGACAAAACAGCATCTATCTTTTCAGCTAAAGGGGGTGGATTTGCAGCAAGCAGATGATGACACCTACCCTCTTTCGCAATTACTCTAAACTTCTGGGAAGTTCTTGCAGGTGCGTCAACTTGGGAATAGCAATCGGGCAATCCTCTCTTCAGAGTTCTGGAGGAAACAATATGTGATTCTTGGAAATTGTTATTGCTCTTAGCAGCACAAAGCACCTTATTTGCAGGGAAATTCATCCCTCTATTTGTTTTCTTAACTTGGGAACTCAATTGATTGTATTTCAGAGTTGACCGTTCACTGCATTTCCCATCTTCATCCCCCCCCCCAAAAAAAAAAAAAGAAAAAGAAAAAGAAAGAAAGAAAGATAAAATCAATATAAGGTTGATCCCATTAAAACTATTGTTAAATTGTATGACAACAAAAAAAAAAAGAACAAGATCAATATTGCTCTAGAAGCCCCAAAATAAATCAACTAGGTCAAATGTCATTAATAACATATCCAAATAAACTTGAATCTAATTATTCTCAAGTGTTAACTTATTATATCCGCATAAGAGTATCAGCTATAAACGGATTTGTGGAAAATTTGGGAAGCAGAAGATGCAAATTTTAGCAGAAGAAAGAGAATTCAAAACAAGAACTCCTAAATAATACATAAATAAAGACCGGACACTGAAATATTTGAGTTGCAGGCCTAAAACAGATTCAGAAAAAAACCTACCTTGCCAATCACGAACCATTTGCCACCCTGCCAAGATTGTCGCACCCGGAGGTCATCTTTACTGACTTTGAATTCATGGGAGGATCCAAGTAACCTAACCAAAAGGCAATTCCTACACAAAACCTTAGAAACAGTTGCCATCTTCCAAGAAAAATTCTGAAACACCTCTACAACATCACCAGGAGACACAATTCTCCAATAGTTTCACTGGAGGAGGACAGGGACTAATTGACTTTCTAGCAATGCAGAAGAATGATGAGATTAATGTTGTGTTTCATTTCTCTTTCCAAATCCCTACTCAAATCCATAATGATCCAAACAAAGACTAAGAGAATTGGAAACCATTCAAAAATTTGTATAGAGAGAGATAGAACTACCTTGCAGTAATTTAAGAGTTACTGATAACAAGTATATGATGAGACATGATGCATACATTCCATTGAATTCTTGTAATGACTATGTTAATGGAAACTGCCACAATTGATATCACCTATGTTATATATCAACATTTTTGTAAATATAAATCCTCTCTCTCTATTTATATAGACATTACATGTACCAAATATAGTGATCAGATGAACTATGTAAAAAGCAACATTAAATACATAAACCTAAACCTAAACCTAAAGATCATCATGCTATGTCCACCTGCGCCACAAAAAACAGCAATCTTTACAACAAGAAATGGCAGCAGAAAATTACCTGACAAACCAAATTCAAAAAATAAAAATTCAAGTAATTTCAACAATGAGAAACCGACACGCAGTCCAAACTTACTTTCAGAGAACAGAAATTGTTTTCTGAAAACAATTTACATTAAAAGCAGAATCGAAGCGAAGCGAATAACCTTATCGGCGATTTGAGATTTCGATCGAGAGAGGTTTGGATTGGTATGTGGGGAATTTGGTTTTGTTTTCAGTCTCTCGTTAACATTGTTGTTGTGGAGGTGATGGTGGTTATTTGGCCCGTTTGGCAGAGCCGTGGAACAATGATTATACATATATAACTTGGAGTTTTCTTAAGTGTGCAAGTGCACACCATGTGCCACTTACACAAAAAGTGTAAGTGTAAGGTGTAAGTATAAGTATAAGGTGTAAGTGTAAGGTGTAAGGTGTAAGTGGGTTGCACATGGTGTGCAACCTCAAAAAATGTGTAAGTGTAAGGTTTAATTTTTTACAAAAGGTGTAAGTGTAAGGTGTAAGTGTAAGGTATAAGGTGTAAGGTGTAAATTGCACACCATAACCAAACCCATATAACTTAGGGTTGGTTTGGGATGTTCTAAAAAAAGTGTATTTTTTGATTTATTGACTTATATGAGTTGGGTTTGGGTTGGATTTGATGTGATGTGTTAGAGAGGTGATGTGATTTAAATAAGATGATGTGACTTAAATAAGATAGTGACTTTTTGACTTTTTGTATTATTTAGTTTATGCCAAACTAATCCTTAATAAATTATAGTTATAGTTGTAAACATAAAATTGTGGAATTATAGATTTAAATTAGTTTATAGTTATAAACATAAAATTGTGAGATTATAAATTTAAGTAGCAGAGTAGCGTTTCGTTTGGTTAATAAGTTGTAAAATAATTTTTTATTGTATAATTGTCTTTTCAACCCTTATATGATATAAAAATGATTATTTTGTTATTTTTTTCAGTTTTAATTTTAAAAAAATATATATTTTATTAATAAAAGTTAATATAATTGGTATTAATTAGTATCAATTAATATAAAAATTGATACATTTGTTAAAAATATAATGGAAGTATTATTGTCACAATTATTTTTTATTATAAATTAATTAGTATCAATTAATTGCTTAATTAGTATCAATTAATACTAAAATTATTAATTGGTATCAATTAATGGCTTAATTAGTCTCAATTAATACTAAAATTATTAATTAGTATAAATTAATATTAATATTTAATTTTTTTTAGTGTCAATTAATATTAATAATCAATTATTATTGTTGAGGCTGTTCGTCCCAGTGAATGGATCAGACAGGTCTAAGTTCCTCCAGCCCGTGTCCAAATGATCAAGCCTACCAGATAACCTGTAGGCAAGTTCAATGGGGAACGGAGTAGTCCCCCAGCGAACTCTCCGACGAGCAAGTTAGGAAGAGAAGCAGAGTATATGGGAGAGGATTCGAGATAGAGAACTTCACATTTTTCTTGTCTACAACATTTGCTTATATCCTTTTGTCATCATTTCGTTGTCCCTTCCGACCTGCTCTCCTTGCCGAAAGCTTATGCTGTAGCTTACCTTGCTCAGGGTAAGGGGGTCCTATTCCGACGGAGAGGTGTTGTCATAATAAATGCTGTGATGGACTGCATTAATGGTGATTTGTAGTGGCAATAACTTTGCAGATCTTTGTCTGCTGATGTGGCTCGTCCTCCACCCGCCGCGTGTCTGAATGCTGTTGATTCTTGATGCCATATTGGATTCCAGCTGTTCCGGACTCCATCGGCAGGGTTATGCATTGGGCCCCGAATGATGGGCTCTGGTTATTTATAGTGGTTCATGGCCTTTGTGGGCCTGTCTATGTCAGTAGTCCCCCATTCCTGAGTGCAGCTTCAAACCAGCGAAGGGAATATGTATGAGGAAGATGGGTCAGACCGGGATAGGCGGTCGAGTTGGTGAGGCGAGCATAAGATTGTCCGACCGCGGGGAGCGTTGATCGCGCGAAGGCCGAACGGAGGGCCTGCCGGCCAAGCTAAAGGGCTGACCGTGAAGAGGGGCGATCGTGCGAGAAGGCCGACCGTTGAGGGCAGGCCGACCCAAGGGGCCGACCGTGAGGACAAGCTGACCGTTGAGAACAAGCCGACCCAAGGGGGCCGACTGTAAAGAGAGGCCGATCGCGCGAGAAGGCCGACCGTGAGGGCAGGCCGACCCAAGGGGCCGACCGTAAGGACAGGCTGACCGCGCGAGAAGGCCGACCGTTGAGGGCAGGCCGACCATGGGGAGGGCTGATCGTGTGAAGGACGAGCGGATTGGCGCGGGGCTCAAGGGCGCGGTGTGGAAAGTGATGATTGGAAGTAGAAAAGACAGGGTAAGGGGGATGGACAGTGCATCGTGGCCGTACACGTGGCCACATCCCGCAAAAAGGGGGGAAGATTAGGCGTTGGACCAGAAATGAAACGTTAGGTCATTGTGGGTGTTGAAGAGATGGTTTTGGCGGATGATTTTGAAAAGTTTTCAAACTGGCGAAAATTAATTGGGACCCTTGGAATACGGGCAAACCGTGGGCTTTTGGCATTATTCAATTCACCTACCTGTGTACGAAAAATCAAAATATTCCAAGTGTGAATTCCTTTGTTGCTCACAATACACCTCTGCAACACTTTTTCAATTTCCTTGTTCCTGCCGCCGAAGCGATTCGCAGACATACCACAGAAATGACCGAAGAAGGGAGTGCGATTGTCAGGGTGGACCCGCTTGGAGATGACGATGCTGTGGAGCTAGCGGCACAGTATAGAACAGAGAGGGTAGGGGAGCCGGTGGTACGATCCCACGGTTCCACCATAATAGCAACTCCAAAGCCAATCAGCCAGGCGGAACCAGATCATTGGCACACGAAGGCTGACAAATCCACGATTACTGAGGCGGAGTTGGAGGCTATCCGCGAAAAATACTAGATCCCTGGGGATGTGGAGTTGTTGCTACCGACAGCAACGGAAAGGCCGTCTGACGCCAGGCCAGGGGAGTTTTCCCTTTATGAGGAAGCTCTGAAGAGTGGACTGAGGTTACCACTGCCGCAAGTGGTGGTGGATATGCTTAACCGTCTGGAGGTAGCATCGGGGCAGCTAATGCCTAACGCATGGAAGATCCTGCTGGCTTGTGCCAGTGCGTGGCTGAAGGCAAATGGAGGGGAGGCCATGACAGTAGACGAATTCTTTGCGTGTTATAAGGCGTCGGGACAGCAGGAGACGTGGGTCACCCTGCAGGCTGCAATGGAGAAGGGGTTGGTGGCGGGTCTGCCGTCGTCAATCAAGGGGTGGCGGCCGCGATGGTTCTATGTGTCTGCTAATGGGGGGCTTGAAGCACGCACCGTGTGGAAAGTGTCTATCAGGTCCGTGGAGCTGAAACCGGGGGCAGCTGCGGAGGGGAGGGTGAGGAGGGTGAAGGAGTGGAGGGAGAGAGAAAATGCCAAATGGGACGAGCTCGTTCAGCCGTCGACATTGTTTGAGGCGGGGTTGGGGCTAAAGCCAAGTAGTGGGGATCTCGACCGAGCGGAGTTGGAGGCGAGGAGAAGGGTGCAGGAGGCAGAGGATCAGGCCATTCTTGCCAAAGCCCAGCATTTCAAAGAGTCCCAAGCCGACCGGCTACCAAAATCTCTTGCGAGGGAGCGGATTCGACCTCGCCCCAAACCCTTGGGAGAGAAAAACTTGGGCGATTTTGTGCCGCGGCCGCCCCAGCAGACCCTTTGAAGGAGAGGTCGTTGAAGGAGATAGAAGCATTGGGCGTGGGAAAGAAGAAGAAGAGAGTGAGTCAGAGTGAGGAAGTGCCTGCCCATAAGAGGAGGGGGGAGATGAGTGTGAAAGAAACCAGTGCGGTCGTGGGGTCTGAAAGGGGAGAAGTGGAGGGGGCCCCAGGAAGGGTAGGTGGCCCAGAAGTGGTGGATGTTGCCTCAGAGGTCATGGAGGTGGTGCTAGTGGTGGCGGCGATCGCCGCAGTGGTCGCAAAGGTCGTCCCCGAAAGGCAAGTAGAGGATGAGGCTGTTGGCCCTGGGCCAAGGAGGGAGGGACAGCCTCAGGGGGTCTTGTACCTCAAGAAGGAGGAGTCGGTGGGACCACGACGATCTACCATGCTCGTGCGGTGGCGGGGCGGCTAGAGGGAGAAGAAGGCCCAGCCCGAGCAAGGGCAGATCACCTTGTAGGGATTGTAGAAGAGGTAGCCCTGCGCTCGGCCTCCAGATTTAACGAGGCTGAGCTGCTAAGGGGGTTATACTCCGCTCAAATGGAGGTAACCACCTTAGCAGGGACCCTGCTGAGGAAGGCGGGGGCTGCCAAACTCAAGGCAGATGAGGCCAAGGCCCAGCTTGCAAAGTTAAAGGAGAAGAGTGCAAGTTGGGAGAGTGCCCACACTGAGCTGCAAATGGTTAAGGCGGAGCTGGAGGACACACGTCGCCAGGTTGTGTCGCTCGAGTTCCAACTTGCTGGCGAGCAGAAGAAGTTGGACGAGGCCCAAAGAGCCTGCGTCGTCGCGGTCGAGTGACATGAGGAGGCTATGAGCAATAATGAGGAGCTGGTCAGGCAAAAGGACGAAGCAGATAGCAAGTGGGCGATCTCCAGAGGGAACTGGAGGGCGACGCGCCAAGGCAGGGAAGGAGAAAGGGAGGCTCCAGAGGGAGTTGGAAGCAGAGAGAGTGCAAGTGGCGGCGGAGAAGGAGAGCTTGAAGAAGGAGTTGGAGGCGGAAAAGGCGAAGGCGACGTCAGAAAGGGCGGCCCTGCAGAAAGAACTGGACGAAGAGAGGGCAAAGGCAGCTTCTGAAAGGGCGGCTTATCCCGATTTGTGCGTTGCAGCAGTGGAGCAATTCAAAGGGTCTGCCGAATTCCAGACAGCGGTTGATGCCGCGGTCGCGAGTAGCCTGGCTAGGCAGGAATCTGGGGGGGCGGGCCCATCGAGGACGACTGCTGGAGGCAGAACTGAAGCAGAAGTTATTGAGAGCTTCCAACAGTCAGAATTTTATAAGCATGAAATGGCTGAGTACTGGGACAGTGGCTGGAAGATGTTCAAACGTAGAGCTGAAGATCTGTTCCCAGACTTAGACCTTAGTAGTGTAACAATCGGCGAAGACGATGTGGCACAAATCCCCCTGGATGAAGGCATTGAAGAAGAAGACCTCCTCTCCAGTGATGAGGAGTAACTGGGGCGGAAGGAGAAAAAGATTGTTTGTTGGTTTGTTGTTTTTGTTTGTTTGTTTGTTTGTTTTTTTTTTTTTTTAATTGCTGT